GGATTGAGACTGCGTGTGTCGATAGCGTGTCTCTTTGTCATCGCAAGAACCACCTGAACTAGCGTTAAATTCAAAGTCGTCATATCTGAGTTGTATGCTTTGCATTGGGTGATGGGACCAGATAGTGGAGTTCCGGCAGACCGTTCTTAAAGAAACGTAAACAGCTTTATCGGTGTCATCATTGTCGGACACTTTCGCTTGTTTTTCTGTTCAGTCCCGCCTCTTGGTCAACTTTGAAAACAAATTTACTTTTCATTTTTTACTCACCCACGAATAGTGGGCTCAACCACGTGCAACCCTTAACTTGGTTTGACACGGTCGATCGCCGTGAGTTTATGGCGTACGAACAGGCTGTATAGCTTTCGCTTTGACATGCTGCTCAATTGAGAAATAGAGATCAGAATTCTATGAATTCAACTCATTGTAGCGAGTTTTTGTAGAGGTATACCAAAATGGAACCGGCCAAGAAGTACGTACGTAGTGAACTCGACACCCCTATTGACACCTTGAGTAAGGCCGCCGTCACCCATTGCGTCTCAGCAATTGACGGACAGTGGGTGTTAAGTTGTCTCTTTAACGGTTAGTTAAAAACACTATGCCACGAAACATTAGTCTCTGTACTTCAAAATTGCTGTCAAAACACAATAGAAATTTTGGGAGCCATCCAAGTACCCGCGACTTAGCCGAATCGCGACTTACCGAGGCGCGACTTAGCGAGGGGCCACTGTACTGACATGTGCCGCTTTTGTAGATGCTTTTATAAATTGACTATGCCTGTATGTGTAATGTCTCTTCAATATTAAACTCATCAAATGTAATCCCACTGAAGAATAAACATGGTTAACCAGTGTAATTTTAAAAATACTTGCTGAGCTAAAAATTCCATCTAATAAATAACAAAGAGTGATTAAAAATGAAGGGTACCCAAATTTGTTTCCATAGAAACAGTGATTTCTCCATTAGCCTACGTTGATGTCAGTACACTGTTCTGTTTCTCACTATTTTGACGTCTTTGTTGTAGTTCCCATTCCATCACCTAGACATAGACGACGGCAGAGACTACTGCAGGAACAACATCAGATGACTCGGGTGGAGAACGGACAACCAAGGTATGATTTAAGACGTGTCATCATAGTAGTAATCTGGAACCCGTGTTTTGATATTGAAATACAAAACGTAACCTTAATAGTAACCTTTGTTTCGTCTCATATAATTGTTCATCACATGACATCAGTGATCTGTTATGTGCATGAATATTTAATTTTTAAAGGCCAAGACCACAACTTAAATGCTACATGCAACAATGCCAGAGACTAACAACTTTTAAACCGAAGACTTCTACTGTCGACGAATTCAAGTGAAGCTATTTATATTACTGATGTTCACACATTTGACTTCTTTAAAAAATGTTAGCCATATGGGTTTTATGCTTTTCCAAAAAGGTACCTCAAGTGCTTCTCCTTCAGTGGTCTTATATTTCAATGCGTGTATATTATAATTATTACATTTTTTTTTTTTCAGGACTCTTGAGGATAGATCAGATTCCAGTCAAGAGAATTCAGTTGCTTCAGTCAAAGATAGAATAAAACAGTTTAATAGTAGCAGTAGTGAAGCCTCCTCCCCCAAAGAACAATCACCAAATGATTCACCAAAACTTAAGATAAAACAAAAACCATCGACAAAAGCTTTTGAAGTTTTTGAAAATCAAGGAATCATTATTGGAATGGTAAGAATGATACTAGAATTGTTTTCTGATATTTATGTATTCTTATTTTCAGAACAGGTCATTTTCAGCCCAGTGTTATGTGCAAGTCAGGTCCTGGACTGTGAATCATAAATTATGTACATTATTAGTGTGCCGAAATACTTTCAGCCATTTTTATACCGTGTTAAATAATAGCAGGTTATACTGTAAACCATTAAAATTTCACATGCGACAAATTTAGTCTTCGCGAATAATTACCAAGCTAAGGGGTTTCAATGGTATGGTTTACATGGCTTCACATCACGCATGACGAGGACAGTGAACAAAATGGCCGTCTTTGTGAAAAACAATAACAAACAAGCCAGAGATAAAGTTCCTTGTAATTTTATTTTGA